ATATATATATATATACACCCATACATATACATGTTATAAACACAAATAAACTTTTAAATGGTTTGTTGTATTTTTAAATACATGATCAGCGGCGCGCTTCATAAGAGCTTCGGATTTAGTCCTTGTTGCCGCTACAATAGGCTCAGCAACATTCTGTTTAAACCAAACAAAGAAAAAAAAAATTAATGTATATATACACAGAAATAATTGAATTTATTATACACCATGTTTTTAAATACACGATCAGCGGCACGCTTCATTAGAGCTTCTGATTTAGTTCTTGTTGCCGTTATAGTAGGCTCGGGAACATCCTGTTTTAATCCAACCAATAAGAAAAAAACAATAAGTAATGTATATAAACTACAAAATCCTTGGATTTTATTATACACCGTTTGTTCATGTGAAAAATGTGTAGGAAACTAAACACATGTATTTTGCAAGGGCGTGGTAACCTGTCTCGGTTCATCGATAACAACATCTGATGATTTGGGATAGACCTGTTGCATGTATATAATCTTAAGTTAATATATATGTAAATATATTATTTAATCGTACAGAACACATTTATAAATATTAAACCGACCGTTTGATTTTCTTCATCTGTATGAGGGACTTCAGATGCTTCTTCACGAGGTCCATTGTCAAATCCAGCAGATGCTTCATGAAAAACATTTTCATCTATATTCTGACCAACCTAATGTCAGTATGAACATAAACAAATTATGATGAATTCCAAAAAACAATTCATACAGAAAATCATATTTGTAGTAGTTTGGGAAATTATAAAATATAACATAAAATATGAAAACAAATGTGAATTGAACAGACTATTTAACAAAACTTTGATGAACAAAAACAAACTATCCTTAATAACCAATACAGACTATGCTTATTCAACTATACCAACGCAATTCTAAAATAATATCATATTACATTTAGATGAAATATGCATATACATGAAATAGACAACCAATTTACTCATCATGTATAAACTCTGAAATAAAGTGTAATTACTTGGTAAATCTTCTCAGTATCATATACTTTATATATATTAAAAAAAAAAAAACTACTTGCTTCCTGTAACATAGTTATTATACTTTGACAAATATGTTCTTGTTCATGTACATATACATGAAATAGTATATTTATTTTCTCATCATGCATAAATTAGTCGTAAAGTTTAATGCTTGCTGAATCTTCACGGTATCATAAACTGAATATAAAAAAACTACTTGCATCATGTATCACAATTGCTAGACTTTGACAAATATGCATATAAATGAAATAGACAACTCATTTACTCATAATGCATAGACTATGAAGTAAGGTGTAATTACATGCTAAATCTTCTCAGTATCATAAACTGAATGTAAAGTAAAAAAATACTAGTAACATGCATAGTATTATTATACTTTGACAAATATGTACTTACATTGAATTTTTTCTTGAATAAGGCAAATTCTGCAAAGACCCGGTTGGAAAAATCAAGGAACATTTGCTTCAGAGTTTCAACCTCATGGTTAAGTGTGTCAAGACGTTTTATGATGTCTGGTTCAGTTTTATGCTGATGGTGGGCGGTTTTCGGGATTTCATCACGATTCAACTCGTTTTTGCTATTGAAACAATCATTGATGAACAACGTATGTTTCTCTTCGTCGGTGGGTATCAAGTTCTTGAACTGACGAAAAAAAAAATTAAGAAATCAGTGTATATGGGTATGTAAATAAATACAGGAACATATTTACATATCTTGAACAATAATTACGTACAGATATATCTATTACCTTGCTAGAATCCATATTTGAAAATATTCTTTGCATAAAGACACGAGGGTGACTGCCACGTACTTCCCATTTGAGCATTCTGGGTATGTCATTTCTGCTACGGCATGTGCAAATGACACCTTCTGCAGAAGTGCACACCTCGTAGAACCAAAGTTGGAGCGCAAGAATAAACCCATAGCACCTGTAGAGGTAGGTGCTACTAAGGATTTTCCCGGGTTGATGGATCTGTTGTCGATATTGGATGGATTTCTTCAAATGGTGAATCGTGAACTCAAACACTTCGGTTCCCCAATCAAAATCGTCACAATCGGCACTGTCAATCATGTCAATGTAGCATCTGTCTACCCGAAGAGTGTCTTGAGACCCCATTAAAAAATTTGCAAGTAAGTGTAACTTGGCAAATTTGACAGCATCTTCATCGTTCGTCCAATATCTTTGTAGAAACTGCCACCGGATGAAGTTTCTGTTTAATCCAACGCCAGAAAAGAATTTGTCGTACATTCCATCGGCTACTTGAGGAATATTTAATTTCTTGCAAGGGCCTGTACATTTCAGCCCTGTTATCAGGGCAAATTCTTCTATGCCAAACCGAAACAACCGCCCCCCAAAGTCAAGCCAAAGTTCATCGCTCCTTGATTGGTGCACCTCCCGTAAAAGAATCTGATTGACAAGCTGGTTCTGAACCTTGCAGTGTGGTAGATCTAAGAACTTACCAAATGCAGATTCTCTAAACAAGTGTAACTGCTCGGTTGTAAGGATTCGCTTGATTTCATTTATTGTACAACCGTCTCTGCTGTTGTCATTACTGTTTAGAACCTTGACATTTAAATCCCTGGGATTTGGTATGATCAATTCCCACTCCTACAATAAATAACAAAGGTTGAGGTGACAAGTCAATAACATTGTACATAAACAAACATAAACCTTCACTGTTTATTTTTTTGGTGAACAGAACAAGTTTTTGTTAGTACATATAAATTACAATTGTTACTGCATATTAACCAAACATAAACAAACAATGAAGTAAACATATAATGATTCTTGAACTAACAAGATTTAAATGAATGACATCTTTTGTTGCTAAAGTGTTAGCAATCATAACCAGATTGGCAGATTCTGACATTTTTCACATATACCAAACTCAGAAGTCAAAAAAATTGAAAAAAGTACATTTTGACATGGACACACACACACATATTGCATAAATAAACTCTGTAGTGATTTAAAATAACCTATACATATGCACTGTGAATTAACATCATATTACACTGAAGTAACATATACAGAAACATGATATAGACTACTCATATACGCATCAGACAAATAAACTAAAGATAATCATAACATACAACTGAACTACACAAACTTCATGAAAATAAACTATTCAGGTGACCTAGTACTTGAACACACAAATTATACACTTGGTAAAAAAATCAACCTATATTCAGCAGACATTGAAAAACATGATATACTACAAAAATTTCAAATAATTGTTCCTACTTTAGGCTGTTTACACGTATGATGGTTTATTGGTACAATTATACTCAGCATATACGTGAAATAAACTATAGATATGCAGTAGATAAACAAACCATGTTCAAACATGACTACAAAAGATATTTGCACATAAAATGAATTACAATTTATAAACCATAACAAACCTAAAAAAAGGATCAGTTTTTAACAATTTGAAACATTAATCTTATCTTATCAAAGTAAAAGAGTATTCTTCAACAATCTTAAAAGGTTGCGTGGGACCATATTAAGAATCAGTACAGATATCTGCCTTTTCGTCAATTTTATATCAACGAAAATCAACTTCGTCAACAATGGGACCACATTATATTGAAAATACAAACTTTTGACTTCCTAAACTAGGAACTAAATATATGAAGTTAACAGATAAAATTCAACAAATGCAAGTTCACCTTGAATACTTTGCCTGTCTGAGCATCCCCACTTGTATTTCCTACCGTCCTGCTATCTTTTGTCCTCTTTTTTTTGTAATGACGTCCATCTTCTCGGATTCCATCCTTCAATTTTTTACTGAATTTCATACCCGATATTTGCTCATCTTCAGATTCATCACTCAATTGGCCTTCAGAATCATCTACTACAGCGTGTGTTTCATCTTCAGCATGATAATTTGGATCCCCCAACTCTTCTGCTCCAGCCGCATCGGAAATCTTTCTTTTTTTAGGTCTCCGAGCATCTTTGTGATGCAATTCGCCATGGTCCGACTGAAAGTCGTCGGAATCTGGGTTATTGTTCTTTCTAATGTGTCGGGATTTGCCGAGATCCTTGCTTGTTCCAGTTGGCTTCATGGTCTTTTCGAAATCGAGCTTTTTTTGTATGAGTTTACTTTTATCTCTAGCCAGGATCTGCTTGATACGGGTGCTCGATCGCCTGTGTGCATCGCCACCGGCGCCGGGAGTTGGTGGGTCGCCTGCTATGGAAGGCAATTTGGTTTTTGCCATGAAGATGGAAAATAGGGTTTACAGATAATGGAGTTGAGGAGCTTGTTCGTGGGTTTGGGGTTGTGAGATGAACAAGAGCTGATTATGTGCGATAATGGGGGGTAGTTTTGATTTTATTTGGTAAGTTATCCCACAATATCTGCATTAATTGAATAAATATATTATTACTCTAAAACTTAATTTATCGTACAACTGCAAAAAAATTGCCTACAATTCGTAATATTGCTAAAATTAAATATTAAAGTGCAAAAATGCAAATAAATAGCTTTGACATCGTGCACCATATAATTTCCTCAAAGTTGGAGCCTATTATAATGTTCAACTCATATGAAGCCTATGTCATGCTATGTACACCACAATTCTTGAAGCCCAACAGTCACAATGACTAGTCAATTTTATTTTTTTCAATATACATTCTTTAAATTTAAAATATCATGCTCTAAATAAAACCTAAGTAAATGTACAATATTCTTATAAAATAATTACATAATTTTGTAAAAAGGTAAATCCTCTTATGCTTAGGCAGTTATGCTTTAAATTTAAAATATCATGCTCTAATTACATAATTTTGTAAAAAGGTAAGCCCAACAGTCATAATTTTGTAAAAAGGTAAAAAGGTAAAATAATTACATAATGAACAACCTTATTTTGACAAGGAATTATACCATATGAATATATATTTTTGCTAACATAATTAAATTTGTATTTGTGCAGTGATATTATTAATTTGTTAATACACCCGCAGAGAAGTTATTATTATTTTTATTTTTATTTTTCTAATAAAAAGTTAAAATAATTAATTGGAGTGAAGCTGAGTGAAATGGAGTAAAGATAGATATGTCCAACAAAATATAAAATTGCAGAGAAGTTAAAAAACCCGCAGTG